GTGGTAATGCTAGTGGGGATTTCAAAGTAAAGCCTTTACTGGTGTATCAGTCTGAAAATCCCAGTGTGTTCAAGAAAAACAGTATTGTTAAGAGTAAACTGTGTGTGATGTGAAAGGCAAACAGTAGGGCATGGGTCACAAGGGAAATTTTCCTGGAATGGTTTAATGAAATGTTTGGTCCCAGTGTGAAAAATTACCTCCTGGATAAGAAACTGCCACTCTAGTGCCTCCTGTTAATGGACAATGCTCCTGCTCATCCTCTAGATTTGGAAGACCAATTGTCTAAAGAATTCAGTTTTGTTACAGTGAAGTTTTTGCCTCCTAACACCACTCCTGTCCTCCAGCCCATGGACCAGCAGATCACTGCAAACTTCAAAAAACTGTACACCAAAGCAATGTTTCAAAGGTGCTTTGACATAACCTCGGACTCTGAATTGACCCTAAGAGTTCTGGAACAATCACTTCAATATCTTCCACTGCATAGGCTTTATAGATAAGGCTTGGCAGGGAGTGACTCCCAGGACGATGAACTCTGCTTGGAGAAAACTGGCGCACATAACGGAGATAAGACACCTCAATTACTGGGAGCGCTTGAAGTTCCTGAACCTGTATTCCCTGGAATGCAGGCGGGAGATACACACTATTATATACACCTGGAAAATCCTAGAGGGACTAACCATACCCCCGGCCGGGATTGAACCCGCGGTCATAGTCTCAAAACTCCAGCCCGTCGCGTTAGCCACTAGACCAGCGACGGGCTGGAGTTTTGAGACTATGACCGCGGGTTCAATCCCGGCCGGGGGTATGGTTTGTTTGCAATCGTGTCATTATGATTTCTTGAGTCCTAGAGGGACTAGTACCGAACTTGCACACGAAAATCACTCACAACGAAAGCAAAAGACTTGGCAGACAATGCAGCATCCCCCCAATGAAAAGCAGGGGTGTCACTAGCACATTAAGAGACAATACAATAAGTGTCAGGGGCCCTGAGACTGTTCAACTGCCTCCCAGCATACATAAGGGGGATTACCAATAGACCCTTGGCAGTCTTCAAGCTGGCACTGGACAAGCACCTAAAGTCGGTACCTGACCAGCCGGGCTGTGGCTCGTACGTTGGATTGTGTGCAGCCAGCAGTAACAGCCTGGTTGATCAGGCTCTGATCCACCATGCGGCCTGGTCACAGACTGGGCCGCAGGGGCGTTGACCCCCAGAACTCTTTCCAGGTAAAAAGGATTTTGAAAGGTTTGAGGCTGACCCTGTCAATCCTACACCTGTTTTGCAATCAATTGTGGCATTCGAGAATTCCATGGGGTTGGATGCAAGTTTGGAGGATGTGGAAGAGCTGGTGGAGGACCACAATGAAGAGCTAACCACTGATGAGCTGCAAGAGCTTCATCTGCAACAGCAACAGACCACAGCTGAGGAAACTGCTTCAGAGGAGGAGGAAGAGAGATGGAAGAAGGTGCCTTCTTCAAAGATTATGGAAATTTGTGCAATGTAGACTAAAGTGCATTTATTTGTGGAGCAACATCACCCTGACAAAGCTGTTGCAATCCGTGCTGGTGACTTTTACAATGACAATGCCATGTCCCATTTTAGGCAAATCTTAGAGATGCCAGAAACAGACCTATCTGAACAGATATTTTGTGTGACAGGGGTCCAGTGACTCAAGCTGGTCCTTGTGACAGTAAAAAACAAAGGAGGGAAGTGACCCCAGATAAGGACTTGGTACCTAGAGTCCTAATGGAGGGGGATTCCCCTTCCAAACAATAACCTATCTTCCCTCTCCCTTCCTTCCAGCAACAACAGCCTTCAAAAAGGGTAAGTGTCATGTTTAATGTTCATTCTTTTGTGCATGTAAATGTATATTTAAGGTAAAAATTTTGTTGTCGAGATTCCTGGGTGTCTGGAACGGATTAATTCCATTTACGTTATTTTTTATGGGGGAAATGGTTTTGGTTTTGGCCGATGGCACTGGAACGGATTAAACATGAAAACCAAGGGTCCACTGTACTAGTTTATCAATGGAGTTCCAGGTAAGTGGAACAAACTCTCAGGTATCACCATTTAGTCAGCTTTGAGTAGTTTTCAACAGGTTGGATCGGTATACAAGTGGGTGATGTGGAAGGGAGGGGGCCTACCTATCATGCTGCAGTGTTCCACTGGGGCATTTTTCAGGGGGTTGGTTTCAGAGCTGTGACATCATATATAAATTCTGTAACATCAAGAGCTTTACAATGGAGATTTATATTTTGAGCTTATGGGTGGGGGGCCTTTACAATATTTTGGGTAATAAGAAAGAAGGAGCACTGCAATAAAGTAAACAGAATCCTTGGTTTCATATAAATAATAGGAGTCCTCAGGTTGTTCAACTCTATCCTTGGTTAGGCCTCGTTTAGATTATGCTGCAGTTTTGGTTACCGTATTACAGAATGGATATAAATGCTCTGGAAAATGTACAAAGGAGGACAAAGTTGATCAATTGTATCAGAAATCTCTCCTATGATAGACTGAGGGCCCTGAATCTGCACTCTAGAAAGGCATAGAATTAGGGGGGATATGACCTAGATGTATAAATGAAACACAGGAATAAATAAAGGTGATGTAAATAGCATGCTAAAATTCAATAGCCAAGACAGTACTTGCAGCAATGGTTTTAAGATGGAAAAATTCAGATTCAGGAAGGATATAAGAAACCAATGGTTTGGTAATAAGAGTTGTGGACGAGTGGAACAAACTCCTGAGTACCGACAGACACTAAAACATTGTGTAGTTTTAAAAATAGGTTAGATAAATGCACGAGTGTGTGTGGGTGGGCGAGAGTTTGACCTGACTAGCTTGTGCTACTAGGTCAGATGCTATGCTCCTTCCTTAAGTGAATGTGACCTGACCTGACTAATTTGGGGTATTGGCTTGGGCTGGTGGGGGATTTAGACCTCCCTCGCATGGGCCAGTAGGCCTGCTGCAGCGTTCCTTCTTACGTTCTTAAACCAATGCTTTCCTACATCCTTTCTAAATTTAAAATTTTCCAACTTTAACCCATGGCTAGATATTTTTAGCATGTTATTTACATCCTCTATTCCCGTTTTACATTTATACACTTCAATCACCCCCCCCCCCCATTTTACACCTGAGTGCAGATTTGGGGTTCTCAGTCTATCCTCACACGAACGAACAAACGATAGTTCAGATAAGATCCCAAATGGGATGAGCGGGGAAGACGGGACAGACGAAGAATAGTGCTGGAGAGGAGTGTTCCTAGTCGTAGAAATAGAGCCAGGGCCTAATCCTCATACGAATAACTTCTACATAACATAAGAAGGAACACTGCAGCAGGCCTACTGGCCCATGCGAGGCAGGTCCAAGCCTCCTACCGGCTTAAGCTGCTGATACATAGGATCAACTATATCATCTTCCTTTGTACGTTTTCCAGCAAATTTATATCCATTCTGTAATATGGTTACGAGAACTATGCAGCATTATCTAAATGAGGCCTAACCAACTCCATATAGAGTTGAAGAATAATCTGAGGACTCCTGTTATTTATATTATAATCAAAAAGAAGCGCTAAGCCACAAGGGCTATACAGCGCTGCTTCTGTTATTTATACTTCTTGATATGAAGCCACAAATTCTATTCACTTTACTGTGAACACTTACGCACTGTCGTCTTGATTTTAGATTACTGCTAACCAGAGCTCCTAAATCGTTCTAGCAATCAGCGATATGATTCAGTTTGTAAGTGTCATGGTTATTTTTCTTCCCATCGTTTAGAACTTTGCATCTGTCTACATTAAACTGCATCTGCCATGTCTCTGACTATTGTATGTCTATTCAGATCTTCATACAGCACTCTAGTGTCCTCATCAAGAATAGGACTAATAAATAGGTTAGGTTTTGATGGGATAAGTTGATTTTTATTAGGTTAATTTAACCTTAATTTTCAACAGGTAGTTTTTAAATATTCGTGAAAATACATAAAAAAAAAAAACTTAACTGGCACAAATTCAAAGTATTTCCACTGCACAAAGTAATTAATATTGGACACTTTCAAATGTAAGTGTTCACGAGAGTTAGTGGTAGAGTTTAGATTTATTACCAGAAAGTTTCTACCTAGCCTAAAGGCCTAAAATATAACCATTTCCACTGTACAAACCACTTAATATTGGAGAATTTACATAAAAACCAAGCTCTTAAACCAAATTGTAGTCTTCCACTGTGAAATAAGACTTGTGCAGTGTTAGGTTATTTTATCAATGAAACATTGACCATGAATGACTTTAGTCCAGAACTGAATCACATGCCACAGTTTTCTTAATATAAAAGCTAAACAATGCAAGTTTTATTTCACAAATGAAGGTGAACAGACACTCAACTGTTCTTAAAAAACTTCCTTTCAGGGGGTGCAGCGCTGTATAGCCCTTGTGGCTTAGCGCTTCTTTTTGATGATAATAATAATAATAATAATCCTTTCAGGGGGTAAGAAATTACAGGAAAGCACAAATTTTGCAAAGAAAAACAAAACCACTAGATAAGTTAGCAACACATAGAAGGTAATTACTACTTATTATCGTGTAGTGAAGACTTAAAATATAATTTAGGCGTAGCAGCCTAACCTGAGCCAGTAGGCCTAAATTATGTTATACTCCATGACTACCATGAAGCTTAAAAACAGATATTTAAGTTATTTAACGACAATGAAGGTAAAACATGAAGAGGAGAATGAGGTAGAGGTAAATATAGAAGGTAGATGAGACTGGTGATGACGAGCTTCACTCCTGTAGCTACAAATTGGGAATCACAAATACGTAATTAGAGAGAGAGAGGCAACACGAGGCAGCACACACACCTCCTGCCCAGCCTCACCTCTCAGCAGCACTCTGCTCCCTCAAGTACCTATAAAGAGGTTAGTGTGTGTGAGTATCGTGCAGTAAACATGTATATGAGTAAAGTGGTGGTGGTGGAGAGGGAGTCCCGGAGCCGCCACCAACAACACTCACTTCTCCAGTCTTATCTTCTTCAGCGCCACAATCCTCTTAGTTACTCTGTCCTGCGCCTTGTATACCACGCCGTAGGTACCCTCGCCGATCTTCTCAATCTTCTCGTAGTTGTGTAGAGCCATGGTGGTGGTGGTGGAGGTGGTGATGGCGGCGTCCTGCTCGCACCTTTCCCGCGCTACACTTCACACTTCACATACCGTTTTGTTCACACTGATGCTACGCTCGAAAACCATACCATTATCTACCATATTTTTATTTTTAACTCTATTCTTTACTTGCACCACTGCATTTAGCGTATTTTTCTACCTTCATTTTAATATGCGCAAACGCAAAACTAAAATAAATTAACATGATTTTTTTCGAGGTTATAAATGGTATTATTGAGGCCGTTTTCTGTCTTAGGGATAGTGGATAACTTACTTATCTCTACAGTATTATTATTATTATTATTATTATTATTATTATTATTATTATTATTATTATTATTATTATTATTATTAATTATTATTATTATTAGTGCGAGAAGCGCTAAACCCATATGCTCATATAAAGACTGGAGAATGGGAAGTAATCACGTAAAAAAACAAATCAAAATCATAATTTCTGTTTTTAACAAACATACACATTAGTTCCAGTGACTCCAAATCACTAGAAATATTGGAAGTATTCTTCATGGATGGGCAATAACCCAAAATTATTTTATTCATAGGGAAGAGCTAAATCTGTAGAGGTTATATAGAGAGCGGGGAATAAGAGTTATTCACATTTGATATATGAAAAGAGATACCTCCAAGTTTTTGGATCAAGAGGCTTTTATCAGCACTAAGGGACCTCTCATTAATGGTACCCAGGATGTAACGAGCGTTCCCTCTCTGGATAGCCACACCAAGGAACAGTAACAGGATTATTAATATTATAATCAAAGTGCTAAACCGACAAGGGTCATGTAGCAACAGTAACAGGACAACAGCAACTCTTTAGTTTTGAGTTCACTGGATGATCCTCGAACTCTTCTAAGAAAACTTTCAGAGATTTTGTGTCAGTGAATGAGGTTGGAGAGTTGAAGGAGGAGGTCTTGCTTCTCCAGGAGGAGATTAGGAGGCTGAAGGTCCACCTCAATGGGCCTGGGAGAGAGTGTGAGGTGGTTGGAGATGTGGGGAATGAGGCTTCTAGCAGTGAGGTGCAGTCTGTCTCTCACTGTGAGGAGGCTGTAGGTGGGGAGGGAGCAACGGCTACCAGCAGTGAGGTGCAGCCCAGCACCTGCTACAAGTGGCGAGTTGTTCACAGTAATGGGAGGCGCATCAGAGTAAGGAAAGTAAGAGTGAAGATCTGAAGGTAGGAAATCGCTTCTCTGTTCTCCAGGATGAATGTAAATTCAGTGGCCAGTGAAGGTAAGGGTACTACTGCCCCTGCTAATGAAGGTAAGCGCATTCTTGTGGTTGGTGACTCTCAGGTAAGGGTATGTTGACCGTGCTTTTTGTAATAGGAATAAAAAGATGAGAGATAGAGTGTGCTTCCCTGGAGCTGGTGTTGGGGACATTGTCAACAGGCTGGATAATATCATGTCAGGTAATGGGAACAAGCCCATTATCTGTCTCAGTGCTGGTGGGAAATGAATTGGGAAGGGTAGGAGAGAAGAGCTGCTAGATAAGTACAGGTCAGCTATAGATTTCATTAAGTCTAAGGGAGGGATCCCAATCATATGTAGGGTTCTTGCCTAGAAGGGGAGTAGGAAATGAAAGGTTGTCTAGGGCAATTGGTGTAAATTGCTGGCTAGACAGATACTGCAAGGAACTTGCAATCCCATTCATTGACAACTGGGAAAAACTTTTATGGCAAACATGATATGTATGCAAGGGATGGGGTACATCTCTCTGGGGCAGGGGTGTTTGCACTTGCGGACTCGTTTTAGAAGGTTTGGTGAAATGCCTATGAATTTTAAACTGATGGAAGATAGAGGTTTTGGGTGTGTGTGGGAAACAAGCAGGTTGCAAACACTAGGGTTGGAAACATTAAATGTATAAAAGGCATTCAGCATGAAGTTATAAATAAAGACAATAGAACAGGTCAGCAAACAAAGGGGGACAGCAGAGGGCAGCAAGGACTAGCTCCCTTAAGGGTTTTCTATACTAATAGCAGGAGTGTTAGAAATAAGATAGATGAGCTAAGATTAATTGCAAGTGCAGGAAACATAGATATTATTGCTATAACAGAGACCTGCTCAATCTGAAAGATAAAAGAGATGCCCTCTGAATGTCACATACAAGGCTATAAATTATTCCACACTGACAGGGTCAACAGGAAAGGTGGTGGAGTAGCGATGTTTTGTCAGAGACAATTTAAATTGTTGTGTTAGACAAGATATTAAATTAGAAGCGTCATCCACTGAATCTGTTTGGTTACAGCTTCTCGAGGGCCGAAAAAACTAATTTTGGGTGTGATTTACAGGGCCCCAAATCTTGATAGGGAGTGCAGTAAACTTCTATGGGACGAAATTCGTAAGGGATCTACATACGAAAATGTTGTGCTAATGGGAGATTTCAACTATAGACAGATTGACTGGAGCAATTTGACAGGAAATTTAGGAGTCGGGTGACTTTCTTGATACGATCCAGGATTGTTTTTTAAAACAGTTTGTGACAGAGCCAACTAGGGAAATAACCTCCTTGACTTGGTTCTGCCAGTAGGGAAACACTAATTAATAATCTTGAGGGTTAATGATGAGCTTGGGGAGAATGCACAAATCACTCAGTTTTTAACATATCATGGAATTCCCTAATAATGGCAAACAAGTCTCCGTCCCTGACTTTCGCTTGGCTGATTTCATAGGATGAAAAATTTCTTAGGTGGGCTGAACTGGAATGCTGACTAAGGTCGGTAGGGGTGATGTTCCCGATTGTGTTTTCCCGGGATTTTTCTACTGCTAGTCAAATTAGTTCCAAATAGGGAAATCAGACAAAAAAAAAATGACAAAATGGATGAACAATAGAAAAAAATATCTGTTGGGTCAAAAGAGGGGTTATATAGCAAATCAAAAGAGGGGGGAATTAAGAAATCGATTATTCAGTTAAAGAGAGAAATAAAAAAGGGAATTAAAAAAGCAAAAAGGATTATGAGGTTTAAAAGTTGCAAGAGAATCGAAGACTCCCCAAAGGATTTTTAAAGTATAAGAAAAAGATCGGGGGACAAGATAGGCCCACTAAAAAAATTCCTGGGTCAGCCACTGACAGTGAAAGGAAATGTGAGAATTTTTAACACATACTTTTCCCCTCAGTTTTTTTACAAGGGGATACCGCGATATTCCCGAATGAAAATTTTGTAAAAAGGACGATAATAAACGTGCATATTAGGGTCACAAGTGACATGGTCCCCAGGAAATAGATAAAAAAAAACCCAACAAATCCCCAGGCCCTGATGAATGTATGCAAGGTTCTAAGGAATTAAAGAGGAGCTTGCACACCTTTTTGGGTAATCTTTTAACATTTCACTACCAAAAAAGGGATGGTGCCCGATAAGTGGAAAAAGGGAAATGGATCCTATTTTCAAAAAAAAGGGGACAGGTCTTAGCTTCGAATATAGACAAAAAGCCAACCCCCATAGTGGGAAAATTTAGGAATTTAATAATTTCCGGGCGTTCGTACCACCTTGAAAAGTTTTAAATTAAATCAAAGAAACTCAGCATGGTTTTACAAAGGGGGGTTCCTGCCTTACGAATTTTTTAACTTTTTCACTAATGTATTTTGTAGGAGGTAGATCATGGTAATGAATATGATATTGTGTATATGGACTTCAGTAAGGCTTTTGACAGGGTCCCACATCAGAGACTATTGAGGAAAATTAAAGCACATGGAATAGGAGGAGAAATTTTTTCCTGGATAGAGGCATGGTTGACAAATAGGCAGCAGAGAGTTTGCATAAATGGGAGAAATCAGAGTGGGGAAGCGTCACGAGCGGTGTTCCACAGGGGTCAGTGTTGGGCCCCCTGCTGTTCACAATCTACATAAACGACATAGATGAGGGCATAAAGAGCGACATCGGCAAGTTTGCCGATGACACCAAAATAGGCCGTCGAATTCATTCTGACGAGGACATTCGAGCACTCCAGGAAGATTTGAATAGACTGATGCAGTGGTCGGAGAAGTGGCAGATGCAGTTTAATATAGACAATGCAAAGTTCTAAATGTTGGACAGGACAATAACATGCCACATATAAACTAAATAATGTAGATCTTAATATTACGGATTGCGAAAAAGATTTAGGAGTTCTGGTTAGCAGTAATCTGAAAACCAAGACAACAGTGCATAAGTGTTCGCAATAAAGCTAATAGAATCCTTGGCTTCATATCAAGAAGCATAAATAATAGGAGTCCTCAGGTTGTTCTTCAACTCTATACATCCTTGGTTAGGCCTCATTTAGATTATGCTGCACAGTTTTGGTCACCGTATTACAGAATGGATATAAATTCTCTGGAAAATGTACAAAGGAGGATGACAAAGATGATCCCATGTATCAGAAACCTTCCCTATGAGATAGACTAAGGGCCCTGAAACTGCACTCTCTAGAAAGACGTAGAATTAGGGGGGATATGATTGAGGTGTATAAGTGGAAGACAGGAATAAATAAAGGGGATGTAAATAGTGTGCTGAAAATATCTAGCCTAGACAGGACTCGCAGCAATGGTTTTTAAGTTGGAAAAATTCAGATTCAGGAAGGATACAGGAAAGTACTGGTTTGGTAATAGAGTTGTGGATGAGTGGAACAAACTCCCAAGTACCGTTATAGAGGCCAGAACGTTGTGTAGCTTTAAAAATAGGTTGGATAAATACATGAGTAGATGTGGGTGGGTGTGAGTTGAAACCTGATGCTTGTGCTAACAGGTCGGTTGCCGTGTTCCTCCCTTAAGTCAATGTGACCTGACCTGACTAGGTTGGGTGCATTGGCTTAAGCCGGTAGGAGACTTGGACCTGCCTCGCATGGGCCAGTAGGCCTTCTGCAGTGTTCCTTCGTTCTTATGTTCTTATGTTCTTATGTTATTGAAACAAAGTGATATTCGTAGCCACTTTAATTCAATCCATTACCAACAGCAAGTATATGGGTTAAGTATCAAACGTTTGAAAATGACATTTATGTTGTTGACTGGTACATAAATCAATACAACTCTCAAGTTCAAACAATATAGTACAAAAATATCCTGGAGAACTATCAAACCAGGGGACGG